TCAGAAATTACTTTCTTAGACCACTGTAACTTACACAAACTTCAAACATGGGTGCTTGATTACTGAGAGCAGTCATTGCAAAGGAAGTCCCTTTAAATAAAGGAATAGTAAAAAGCTACATATGTAACCTTTTGTCCTTTAGCATGAAGCCTGTTAGCAAGGCAAGCATGTTTGCCTTACTCAGAAAGAGACCTAGTAGCTACAGAAAAAGCAAGGCCTGATTTTTACATGTGCAATGAAGTAACAACGTAGTTGCAGCCTTGAGGAAGGAGCTGGTTGCCTGGCGCTGCCAAACTGACAAAGCTAGTTAGCCATCAACACCATCAGAGATGTGAGAAAGACGAATTACAGCAGGAAGTTTCACCCAAATGGCCTCTGTGTCTGTTAAAATGACAGAGACTTACCCACTTACCTAGACAGTTACCCTGGGCTGCCGTGGTCTCTATGGCTTAGTTGGGAGCACAGGTCTCAGGGCAACATGAATCTTCGGCGGCCAGACCTAGGAGACCCAAGAGGCTTTCTTGTGGAGGAGGAATGTGGAGTACTGGCCTACCTTGTCTAGATAAAGAGGGACAGTCAGCTCTCCAGGGTCCTGCTTGTCCTTAGGATTCTTGTGGAGCTCGAGGCATGGGCAATTTTGCCCAGTGGTCATCCTTACCACAATCCAGATAGCATTGCCTGTGCTCTATAGTCTTCTTTAATGACATTATGGTCACTGCCAGGAGCTGGCATTTCTGTGTATTATGGGAAAGCTTTTCCATTTAACATTTTAAATGTTTAATTTAACAAATCCAACAAATCTCAGGAGAGTTTGAGAACCATAATCTGTTAAATAGATCTGAGCTAAACAAACTTTGTTTTTAGTTACTAGTGTAGTTTTGTTTTCTCTTTCACCGCATAGCTTGCTGTGTACCTGGGTGACTGGCCTCTGGAGTACTCCTCCTATTTTTGCTTCTTGATCCTTTCTTCCCAGATTTCTCCTCTTATTTATTCTCTCTGCTTGCTAGCCCTGCCTATCATTTTTCCTGCCTTACTATTGGCCATTCACCTCTTTATTAGACCAATCAGGTATTTTAGACAGGCAAAGTAACACAGTTTCATAGAGTTAAACAAATGCAACATAAAAGAATGCAACATATCTTTACATCATTAAACAATTATTCCACAACATAAACAGATGTAACACATCTTAAATTAATATTCCACAACATACAAGCTTTAGGCTTGCGCTTGAAAACACATGTAGGAGGCTAAAAAAGGCTTTTCATTGTAAATGAATTACATTTGAACTTAGCATGGCTACAGCATAGTTCTGAGGCCATTGAAAAATTTTATCCTTTAAGAGGTAACTGACCACTAACTTGCATTTCTTAATTATCTTTGACAATTTACAATATGTTAGTATTTATAAGATTAGTATTTTACAGCCTTTTCTTTGTTAAGTCTGAGCCTTAAAAAATAACAACTTCTGAACTGAAGCTATTTTAATATCAAAATAAAACTTTAAATCATAAATCTAGTCCATGGGGAGACTGGCAACTTTATATTTCACTCTTTCATAGTACACCATTACAGAATATCAGTTTTTCTTATGACTCAGTTTATCAAAATAACCAAGTTTAGCAAAGTTATCAAAGAGAAAGAGATTAGACATACATTTTTAAGGCAGCTTCTGTTAGCCTGAATAGACCTTGGGAAAGGAAAGACATTCTATAGGCTGTTTGCTTTGGTCATTGTCTTGCTATATCATGAGATAAGAACATTTCAGTCTTTGGTGTTTAGTATTTGGTGCTCATACCTGTGTCCCTAACTCTTCAATATTTATTCACTTATTTATTTAAGATTGCATACTAATAAAAATGTCATAATATAAAACATTTTATAAGCTTAAAATGTCCCATGCCCTTAAAAACTTAAAGATTTAAAACGCAGTTCCTTTTTTTAAAAAAATCAATTATTTTAATTAAAATTTTCTATAAAGCTGCAAATTTCTTTTTAAAGAAGTTTGAAGTCTCTCAACTCTGGGCTCCTACCCTTTTGATTTTAAGATTCACCCACAAGCCTCTGGGCTTCGCTAAGGGGCTCAGGTCATCTCTCTGGCCCCACCCTCTGCAGCACACACTTTGTCTTCCAGGCCCCACCCTGCTCTATTTCACCGAAGCTATTGTTCCTGGTGGCTGTCACAAGGCACTGGCATCTCCAAAACTGCCGGGGTCCCCACTGCAACTGGGCTGCATTTTCACCAATAGCCTTTCCTGAGCTCTATAGGAACTCCAGCCTTGGGTGCTCTCCATGGCCCATTCGTGCCTTCAAAACCAATATCACCTGGGTGACTCTTACATTACAAAGTTAGACTGCTGGCACGAGGTCCATTCTTGTACATACACACATGGAGATACAGCTTCAACGCCTTATTAAACAAGCATTGCTTTTAAATCCTTTCTTTCACAAACTTTGATTTTTATGAATTTATTTTCAGGACAAGAATTATCATACAAAAGTCCTACCTAACTCAAAATATCTTGGAGACCTGTTGTTGCTTCCTTGGTTGGGTTATACCATGTGGTCACCTTTAATCAAGACAGTGGTAAAGTTACATGGCATCCACCCTCTGCAACTCTAGCAAAAATGGCTGCCAGCCATATGGCTGCCTCTTCCCAGGTAGGGGAGGAGCTAAGAAGCACCCAAGCCACATGTTTTTTATACCCCAAGGTGGTATCATGACACATGGTTCCTTTATGATTACTTAAGTATAGATTTTTTTTTTAACTATCAACCCCCATGCTACAAGTTTTAAGTTAACATTTTTTTTTGTTACAGATTTTTAACCATACTGTAGGGTAAAAGGACCAGTGAAAGAAACCCACCCTGGCCCTGAAACCAGAGCCAAAGAAACACACCCTGACGCTGATCAAGTAAGCATGAAACCATCTAATCCCTGAGCAGAAAATCTAGCCAGTCTCTGAGCTTGTCCAAACTCAGGAGATTGAAAACCAACCAACCTCCACCCTGAAATCTTCTCCCTGAAAAGACTGTACCCTAAGAAGCCCTATATAAGTCCTATGCCTGCTCAGCTGCCCATTTCTGCCCTGGCAGAGGCAGTTCCTCTCCTGGGTTCCTCCCTCCCAAGTAAATCTCTTGAATGAGTTTTGGATGAGAACTTCTTCTGAAGGATGGAAGCAGAATCTCTGCTGGGAAACTCCCTAGTGGAGTGGAGGGGAGAAACCATGGACATCTGCTGGGAGACTCTCAGCACAGTGGAGCAGACCTCAGCTGTAATGCCTCACTCTTGTAGCCGAGCAGGATTGCCACATCCTGTGGGGAGATTGTCCACTACTGGAACACAGCTGTATATATCCTGACTTCCTGACAGTCAGGATACCTTCCCTTCGCAGCTGTAGGTATAGCCTGACTCCCTGACAGTCATTGTATTTTTCCCTTCAGAACTGAAGCACTTGCACATACCCAATAAACTTACAAATCTTGAGGCACAGGAAGTTCACATAATAGTCTAACAAATCTATCTAAGATTTATATCTTAGCAAATGTTTTAGGCAGTTAATTTTTAAAGGCTGTTTTGCTTTGTGTAAAGAGAAGCCTTCCTGCCAGCCTGGTTCCAGAGCCACATCAGTCTCAAATGAACACACAGGAGGCTATATTAATTATGAAGCTGTTGGCCTTGCTTGTTTCTTACTGGCTAGCTCTGACTTAAGTATTTATCCCATAATTGCTAATCTAAGTATTTCTCTTACTGGAGAGGTTTCCGGGCTTCCTACCCCATGGCGTCTGTTTCTCCTTCCCAGAGTCCTCCTGGACTCCTAGTCCCACCTATCTTGGTTCCCTATTGGCCAACAGTGCTTTATTGACAAATACACAGGACTTCCCCCATCAGTTTTGGTCTGCTCTCCTATCCCTGTCAGAGAGTCAGTGGCTCATCTGACATAGGACACAGAAGAGGCATTTTAAATAAATAAGCATGACTGGGTCTAGAGGAGGGAGAGCCATGTAGCCCAACTTCAGAGCCAGCCTTTCAACAAAACAGAACAGCATAAAACAACTTTAATATTGTCCACACCCAAAAGACACTTGAATCCCTGCTAAGCTGAATCCAGTGACCGGAAAACCCAGAGATAAATTATGAGCCCTGGCTATCAAAACAGTCATAGCAAGCAGTGTTATATGGTAACAGGCAACAGCAGAAATAGCAGAAACAAAACTGATAATCACAGAACACAGAAAGCTCAGACACTCAAAGGAGACCAGTCAGAAATAAACCATGTGGTGGCCACCATTCATTCATACATTCAACTGAGCCTGACCCATTTCCGTGCCACAAAACCATGGACATCCAGAAAGCAGACCCATTCTCACTCACAAAACAGGTAAAACTTTCCAGGTAGTCAGAGCCAGGCAGGCAGGCAGGTGATGTCTCGCTTCTTGTACTGGGCGGGAGAGGACTGGGTCCCATCAAACCCCTCCATGTCCCAGATAGGGATCCCAACAAACCTGATGTCACAGAAAAAGACAGCCACCTGCCAGGGAGGCCTCTGTAGCTGCTTGCTGCCTTTCTCAGCACAGCAGTCACTGTGACAGTCTGCAGGACTGAAAGCACACCTCAGAGCCTAACGTGACGAGTGTTCCTCTCCTGAGGCGGCCCGTCAGCCCCAGAGTCCCAGACCGAAGGCTCAGCTTCAGAGTGTCAGTGGATAGCCGATCTCACTGGGCCTTCAGAAAATGTTAATCCCACTGGATGAGAATAAGACCACTACCACAACTTTTGAGGCAAATATTGGAGCAAGTTTTATTAAAAACTGGCCAGAATGATGGACATGGCCAGGTCCATACCTGGGATTCCCAGAGTATAGCTGTGAATTATGCTAGCCAGGTTCTAATAAAGGCAAAACCTACATGGCTACACACTTCCTGCCTTCATCCAATCAAGGGCAAGCACGCATCCTGACATGCTTCCTGCCTAGGCACCTCCCGCCTGTGCGGTTGGGGCAAGCAAGCTCATTTACAGAAGTGAAAACACGAAGCTTACTATCTTATGTGATCAACAGCCCCCAGCAATTTCAGGCAGCTCCCTGTCCTTGGGCAAGTGGGGCTCCCAGGTTAGATGCATTTCTTAAACACAATAATTTAAACTGAAAATGTAACTTTAGCCACCATGCTTTATTTTATCTTTCCATGGGGTGATGCGTCCAGCCCCAGGCTGATTTGCCCCATCTTGGACTTTTTCCTTTAATACAGATTACTTACAGCAATGTTTGCTTTGTCTTGCTTTAAAATTCCTGGTTAATATAAACATGCATTTGAACAGTTCTGTCTCTTGGGTGTGTGGACTCTTCTAGGGTAGAGGGTCTATCTCTAAAGCCCTTCTCCAGAACCCACATCTGAGGATCCTTTGTTAGAATTTGAAGACAATCCTGAAGATGTCTACAAGGCACCAGGAAGATTACAGCCTGTGGCAGAGCACAGGGTAGGTGGAAAGCTACTCATCTTTTATCTTGAAAATTGAATACAGAAATAACTGCAAAAGAACAGGTAAGACTTCCCACAGTTACTTTTTTTTTTAACTAAGGACACTTGTAACCATGACTTCACTGCTCAACTGACATCACACTGGTTCCTTTGACAGCCTCAGAGAGATACCATCAGGACTTTGTCCCATGAATCAGTAGAATGGGCTTCAGCTGGAGTGTGGTGCTGGCAAAGGAATGAATCTGTCATCAACGCTGTGCCTGTTTGACATTCTCCACTATACTTTTCTTACAGTCAACCAAAACCTGCTAGAGAAATGCTGGCCAGTTTGGAGCATACAGAAGAAATGTTGGGGAAAGTGAATTCCAGCAAAAGAACATAGTGTCAATCATCTCAGTAAATGGCAGACAGGTGAGTCTTGTTTTGTTAACTTCTACAACTGGTGTTTATTTTCATCTCGTGGGAATTGCTTGAGCTAATGCTCTGAGGATCAAAAGATTGTATTGCTTTCTAACAATGGAAGCTTTGGTATACAGCTCCTGATTTGGCCACAGCTCTCGTTTCTCCCTCCAGGAACTCAAAGCCCTTTCGCTGAAGAGAGGGAAGACGGATATACATGAGTCAATTTGACCAATGAAAGTGCAGAGTGTTAAGATAGTCATTGAAGGCAGTGAAGGTGCTGATGATGAGTGACTTGGTCAAAGTATGCTTACCTGGGGTCCTGGAGCCGAGGCAGGAGTCTCTAACCCTGCTTGGTGTACAGTCCAAGGAGCATAGCCATGTCCCTCATAGAGTTGTTGTTAGGTATCAAGATCTGGTTCATTTACCTGCCAGTAAAGAATTCAAAGGCAAGAAAATCCTCAGACACAGCAGGCAGCAACCAACCTTATTACAGCTAAAGACACACAGACAGGTGGGGAGAGGGGAGGAGGAGGAGAGAGAGAGAGAGAGAGAGAGAGAGAGAGAGAGAGAGAGAGAGAGAGAGAGAACAAAGCATATCAACAGAAAAGGAAAGACTCCCACGAGCAAAGAAGGGAGAGAAATCTAATTGGAGGGTGTGGTTTTGGTGGTATAGGGCAGATTCTCCTCATATCGTTTGGGGTTGGTCAACAGACAAAGAACAGGTAGCTGACCAGCCCACAGCCCAAGAAAACATGTTCAGAATGGACCTTGAACACATCTGGCCATCCTGGACCAGTTAACAGAAGGGGATGCCTGCTGGTGGGGGAAAATTGGGAGGCCTTTGTCTCAGGTCAGAGGGATGTGGAATAAACTGGAGGTTTGTCATCTTTGTTATCCATGATTCCTTTGTCTGTCTGTCTGTGATCTGCCTCAAGTCCCTTGGTGGCATCTAAGAACTTAGGAAACCCAAGTGACAGAAGATGCATGCACACGTTGTAACATGAGCTGCCCAGCAGACTCATAATGGCATCTCTGGGGCAGATTGAAGACTCTGGCACAATCCTTAGACTGACTAGAATAAAAGAAAAGATTTCACACCAACTGAACCTTTTCCTTCTTTAATATTTAGAAACAAAATACTCGGCTTCTTTGCTGCCAGAGAGTGCAAAGACTGGTCCAACCCACCTTTCCTGAAAACCCATGATCTGCTTTTCAAGGGGAAGATGAAAGTGCCAGGAATAGACAATGGCTGACTTTTGAATATTCATGACTATTCTAATGCAAATGAATATTTCAAATTGATCTGGTTTTGCCCAGGTGCTGCTGGAAGTGCATTAAGCTTATAAAATTGCTTCTCTTTTCTTCAGATCCCCCAGAACTTCCTCTGCTTATTTACAATTCTCCTAGGTTTCCAGGTGTCCACCTTGGGCTGCAGTTCTGGCCCCTAAAACACAAGGGCTGTCACTCAGCCCAGCCCACAGGAATGCCTCGCCTCCTTTAATTGGAGCCCAGCTCACACATCAGGTTGCCTTTCTTCAAAGGGAAGCTCACTGTGCCCTGCAGAACAGGTGTAGGATGAGATCTGTCAGGGTTTAGGAGCTCTTGTCCCAGCTCTCTGGCTCAGAAGTCAGGAGGGCTGTTCAGACTTCCCTGACTCTTGTACCTCAGGGTTTTGACCAGTAAATGGACTTGGCCTGTAGCCTGAGGCTTTGCTGGGTAAAAATCCTGCCAAAGCCATGCTCCCCTGAGCTATAAAAGATCTCTCCCTTCCTCTCGCCTCCCTGGTTCTCTGCTTTTCTCCCACGCATATGTTTAATTTCTCCTGGGATTGTGAACACCTGACTTTATCTGTGATGGTTGAGGTTGTGAACTAGTTTGATGTTAAGAAGCACATTGACTCTTGAATGCTGCAGCTACATTGTAGCTACTGAAATTGTTGCTCCGTGTTCCGTTTCCTGAGGTGCACAGTATTGGCTGATGCCTAGGAATCAGACGGGCTTTAATGAGGATGGTACAAGAGTCCTGGCATCCACTGAAGCAGGTGAGAGGAGCCTGTCTGTAGCCCAAGCTTCTGGTCAAACTGAACAGCTCTGGCCCTGAATACAAGCATAGAAGCCAGGAACTTGTAGCTCTGTGAATGTTTATATATACAGTGAGCTCTTAATTTGTTTTTAAACCAAGGAGGTTTCCATTCTATAACTTTGTTGTTGTTTGCTTGTTTTTTCAAGACAGGGTTTCTCTGTGTAACAGCCCTAGCTGTCTTGGAACTAGTTCAGTAGATCAGGCTGGCCTGGAACTCACAGAAATCCACCTGCCACTGCCTTCCTATTGTTGGGACTAAAGGTGTGAGCCACCACTGCCCCATCCTATTCAGTAACTTTTAAAAGACTATATCATGAGAGGAAAAGATGACTTTATTTTCTTCATCCAAAAAATATTAACCTATAGGGTATTAGAAGGATTAAATTATGATGTGCATAGGAAATGTGAGGCCCAGTGTGGTGGTTTGAATTACAGTGGCTCCCACAGGTTCGTAGGTTTGAACTTGGTTCTCAGTTGATGGAACTGTTCGGGAAGGATCAGGAGGTGTGGCCCTTCTGGAGGATTATGTCACTGGGCCTGTCTTTGAGGATTCAAGACTCCTTTGTGTTCTCTGCCTCCATCATGGAATCTAACACTCGGGAACTGTAAACCTGATTGTATGCTTTACTTCATCAGACGCCTTGGACATTGTGTTCTGTCACAGCAATAGAACAGCAACTAAGACACCCGGAGCCTAGCAATAATAGATCTTGAGTTATGAGCTGGAGTTACTATTCTTGCTAATGTTGTCCTTTAAATCAGTGTTCCTCAAATCTAATAAGGAGATTATTGGCAGGCTACATAATTTTGGTAATGGGTTAATTGATTTTTAAATGATATGCTAGGACAAATATGGGATTTATGATTTCATGAATATCATTTTGTTGTTTACTGCTGGATGACAAACTGCTCCTAAACTTAGCGATTCATCCAATGGGGACATGTCTTTTTTTTTTTTGGTTTTGATATGAGGTGGGCTCAACAGTGTGTTCTGGCTTCCTGCAGTCACCTGTCTCAAGCCTCTGAGTTTGGCTGACTGGGACAGCTGGGCTAACTGGGCACTTACGTGGTGGCTTAGTGCTCCAAAACCAAGTGCAGAGTGTTCCTCTCCTGAGGCGCCCCTTCAGCCCCAGAGTTTGTTAAGGCTCTGCCTGCGACACACAGCTGCTGCTGGCCTTTGGTTTCTTCTGTCAGAGGGGGAGTTGTTGCCTCATGATCGCTAAGGATGAAAGCAAGGGCAGTACAAAAGAGGGAGCACCCAGAGTTCCCTGAGGAATAAACAGCTCCTTGCAGCCAGTGGGGAGACTTGAAGATGAGTTACCAAGTATCGTACTGAAGCAGGATTTTTATATCTTGGGATTGAGCCAGTTTGGTCCCATATGTAAATTAGGCATCAAACTGGGGCGAATCTGATTGGTCGATTTGAATGCATGTGGAAAATTCTGCTTTGTTGATGGGTCATGTGAGAGAGCCCAGTGTTGAAAAGTGAAAGGGGGGAAGGTGGCAGTCAGCTGACATCTAAATGAGCCAGAGCCTTTTGGATTTTGTCTTTAGCTCACTAAGTACGCTGGATATTTTTATGCAAATTACAGTCTTTTTAGAAGAGGAAGCGTTAATTGAGAAAAATGCCCTCAGGGACTGTAGGCAAGCCCATGGTACATTTTCTTGATGGATAATTGATGTGGGAGGGTCCCCCTGGCTGGTGGTCCTGGGTGCTGTAAGACCCCTCCATGGCCTCTCTGTCAGCTCCTCTTGAGTTCCTACCCTGACTTCCTGGACGGTGAAGTGCAGCTGAAAGGAAGCCTTTCATCCCGTGCTGGTTGGGCTATGGTGTTTTATCACATCATCAGCAACCTCAGACACTGGGGGTGTGGGATCCACTGTAAAACCTCAGCAACCTCAGACACTGGGGGTGTGGGATCCACTGTAAAACCTCAGCAACCTCAGACACTGGGGGTGTGGGATCCACTGTAAAACCTCGTGTTCCCAGCTCTGACTGCCAGTTCTGCCAGGATTTGCCAATGTTTTTGTTTGTCCTGGGACTATAACCCTAACTGCTGATAGAATGGAACGGCCCTTGCTTCTGATTTGTATTATTACCCACATCCCAGTGGGCAAAGCAAGCCCATGGTCCAGCCAGTGGTAGTGGAGGGGGCTTCAGACGGTGTAACTCCTAGAACTATGGTTACCTGAGGGCTGCAGATGTATTAAGACAATCTCCCTTAGTCATAATTGACTCAGGGTCTCGGAGTCGGTATAATTAGGGGAAATCAGGGTCTCCTTCTAGGATTATTATTCTCATTAATAAAATATTTTCAAATGAACTCAAATGGAAGCACAAAGACAATTTTTTTTTTAGCATTTAAAAGAATGTCTGTGTTTCCTTTGGTTGGGTCTATCAGCAGAAATCTTGTCAGTTTGGGACACTGAAACCACCGTCTGGCAGAAGTTGGTGTAAGAAATTAGGAAATGAATCAAATGAACATTTGTTTATAAGACGTCTGCCTCTGAGGAGACTACTTCAGATTGACCACCTGACTGTGAAAGCAATTCAAGACAAGTCTCAGACTGGGCTCTGTTTGTTTGACTATGAGTTTGAGCCAGGGTCTCATGCAACTCGCTCAGGATGACCCTGAACCCTTGACTCTCCTGCCTTCACCTTCCAAGTGCTGGGTTTACAGGTGCATAACACACTCACTCACACACACACACACACACACACACACACACACACACACACACGTGCCTATGCTTGTTTGTTTTTTAATCTGGCTGCTCTGTATAGTTAAAAGAAGGACTGTAAACAAAGTGTATAATGTTGCTATGTGGATTTCCGGGAAAATATTTCAAAGTCATTTAAAGGTTTGAGAGTAATAAAAATAATCATTGAACTCCTTTAATTTCAGCTCTCAGTGACATTT